ACGCTTTTAAGAAATTAGCCGTTTTTTCCATCTCTAGTCGCGAATGCGCCGCCGCACCGCAACGACGACCGAACCGCCGAACGGTCTGAATTGTTTTTTTTTTATGCAGTTAGCCGTGATTAAACGTGCGTTTTGTATTGTAAATATTTGATTTAATTAAGTAGATACCTACATAATTTAGTATGGAAAAGAACAAACGACGATAAATATCGTACAACAGCACAATTGCTGTTTTTGGTTGCTTGAACTCTTCAATAACACACCCAGAGATATCATTTTTTAAATTACCTGAAATTTTGGAAAGGTGTCTTACCTTTATAGAATATTTTTATATACCTATCTACTAGTACGTTATTTGTTTCTATTATTTAGGTATTTCGGATTTCCATCGGGCAAAATATCTGGAATAATATATAAATAAGTGGTTAGGATGAAAAAAGAGACAAACGAGTAATGTACCTACACTCGCGTTAAAAACAAAACTACATAAAATACTGTAGGCTGCGCTCGGTGTAGGCATTTATTTTCAAGGACAGGGCGGAGTCACAATACTGTATAGATAATATTACCGTGCCTATGATACCTATACCTACCCGTTGTAATAATAGATTTCTTTTCAAATGAAATGTTCAAATTCTTTCCATTTACCTGTTTCTATATTTTACTATCGGTAATAAGGTATGTACCTGCTTATCATAATGATTTTTATAAAAATAAACAGATATTATATGGGATGGGAGTACAAACTATCGTAGCATTATTTCAGAAATAATCTTTTAGTAAATATAAAATAAATACTAGTGATAAGTATTATTAACTAAGGATTAACCTTAGGGATTAACTAAGGTACCTAGTTTTATTCTTATGTTGATAAATACCTATGGTCACATATATTGCATTTATTGAGGTTAACAATCTTGGCACAACTTTTTAACAAAATCACCCATTTAAAAATAATATAATAACGAAGCCAATAAACTATTAAAATAAATCGTTATTATAGACTGACACCTATTGAATCCAGTTATCAGCTGATTTTTAATGCTGTATTTCTCAATAAACAGGAGTGCCAAGATTGTTTACCAAATAGGACAAATTAGGATGAACAGACTGTAGTATCTAGTAACAGAACTTTTATTTTTTTAAACAGATTGTCCGTTTACTATGATAAATTGCTAATAAATTGAAAAAAATAATAGAACAATAATAGTGAAGGACATTCTTTTGGGCAACTAGGGCCGATTTCGTCGATGTCCTTTCTAGTTAAACAGTATTTTTTGGGATATTACTTTCAAAGTATAGGTAAATCATAGGTTAAGTGATGGGTAGTCGTCAAAGGACACATGCACTTTTAATATTAATGGTAATATTTTTGAAATAAATAAGTACTTACAGAATTTACAGATACCGTGCTTTTCATAGATATTAGTTAGTCGCAACTAAACTAACGGTTACCTAGTAGAGAACGCAAGGGCCTTAACGCATTAAGCCCTTAGGTCTACGTGTTCACTACCCAGGTAATATAAATATTAATAACTTCGCCCACTTATCCGACCTGATAGTAGAACTCTCGCAGACAGTCGCCAACCCCACCGTGCTTATCGGCGCTCCTGACTGGCACTTACCTTTAATTCGAGAGGTAAGGGTAGGAAAAAAGGAACGAACCCATCGCCTTCAAGACGCTATTAGGATGGGTACTCAACGGTGCACTATCATCTTCAACTAAACCGATTGAATTCACCAACCACGTTCGAGACAATCTAGCCGCTCTTATAAAGAGTCAGTACGATATTGATTCCTTAGGAATAACGAAAAGCAGACTTCGACCAAATAACGATGATCAACAAGCTATCGATGAAACATCTGCGCGTCAGCTCAAGGATGGCCGATACGAAGTCGGCCTTCCTTGGAAACTACATTTACCGAAAATCAAACCCGATAGTTACCCACAAGCACTTTCCGGTAAAGTCTCTTGAGCATCAATTGTCAAAGGATGCACTCTACTCGGCAGCTTATAAAAAGTTTATTAACTATATTGTCAGCAAAAGTTACGTCGAAGCATTTGACCTGGGTACGTATTACTAACGACCCTAGAGTTCATCAAACACAACTTCAGATGGCAATATGCGTTGGTACTTACCAACTTTTGGTGTGATGCACCCATAGAAAAAGAAGCTGCGGGTGGTCCACGACGCTGCCGAGATAACAAAAAACGTGAGCCTGAACAGCATGCTCTTACAGGGGCCTGATTTATTATGTTTCTATTGGACATTTTCTTTCGCTTTCGAGAGGGTGCTATAGCCCTGAATGCCCAAAAATTGTCCAAAGAGAATTTCCAATAGAGAGCATAATAAATTCGATCCCTGTAAGAGCATGCTGTTTAGGCCCACTTTTTTTGTACACCTGTCTTGTGACGAGAGCAATACACCTTGAAGTAGTCGCCTCACTTTCGACGGACGCTGCTATTCTGAGTCTGAAATGCTTCATCGCGAGGTTCCCCGTCGACCATATTTTCAGACAACGGCACAAACTTCGTCGGTGCTGCTCGTGAATTACGCTTCTTATTCGACCACGCCATTAAAGAGTTCGCTGCGAACCAGAAGATAGACTGGCGTTTTATACCCCCTTTGTCTCCATTTATGGGCGGAGCATGGGAGAGACTGGTGAGAAGCGTAAAGACCGCCCTAAAAGCATACCTCAAAGACCCAGTCAAGGAAGACCTACTGACCACATTATTACTCGAGGCAGAATTCATCATAAACAGTAGACCTCTCAGCTACGTATCGGCCTCACCAGATTCGCCTGAATCACTGGCACCATTGCATTTCATTCTGGGTACCTCTTCTACTGCAGCCTGGACGTGTAGATGTTTCTCCGATGGCTCTCCGATGCAGACCTACATAGAAGATGCGACTGGCGAAAAACTTTGCGCCTAGCCGACTACTTCTGGACACGATGGCTGCGAGAATATCTGCCAAAGCTTCGACCCAGAGGGCCTTCTCGCGACGTGGTTACTTTCAGTGAGGGAGATAGTTTTCGACTCCCTTAATGCAGCCCTTAGACCGATTTTTATTAGTCAGCAGCACAGATTTGTAGCGGGGCACTCCACTGAAACAAACCTATGTGAGTTTTTAGACCAAGTATTGTGTGGAATGAATAATGGTTTTCAGGTAGATGCTGTGTATACCGATTACTCTAAATGTTTTGATAAAATTTCGCATCAAATATTAGTTAGAAAGCTAGAGAATATCGGTATACATGGTGACCTGCTGAGGTGGTTACAGTCATATCTTGAAAATCGAACTCAGGCAGTTACTGTGAAAGGTTTTAAGTCCAGTTTCATACCGATTACGTCAGGTGTTCCCCAGGGTTCTCACCTCGGACCATTGTTTTTTAACATTTTTATAAATGATGTTAGTCAGTGTTTTCAAAATTCTTACTATTTGCAGATGATACCAAGATATTTTCGATTATTAAGTCTATTGAAGATTGTGTTAGACTTCAGGAAGATCTAGATCGTTTGTGTGATTATTGTATAATTAATAAGCTGACTATGAATATCGATAAATGTAGTTCCATAACCTTTAGCAGAAAAAAAACTGCTAAATTTTTTGCCAAAGATCTTACTAAAAAGTCTGAAGTGAGAGACCTGGGGGTAATAATGGACAGTCAATTGTATTTTACGTCTCATTTTCATAAAATTACAGGCAAAGCGTATAAAATGTTGGGTTTCATATTAAGGCAGGGCAAAGATTTTAAAAACATACTAACTCTATTACTTTTATATAACAGTTATGTAAGATCTCAACTAGAGTACGCTTCAACGGTATGGAATCCGCAGTACTTAACACACATAAGCGCGATAGAAAAAGTACAGAATAAATTCATTAGAAGGATGAAATACAAATACAATGACTTTTGTGAGGATGACGTTCGATTCCTGGCACACCGAAGAGAGTGCAGTGACTTGGTCTTGCTTCACAAGGTTATAAATGGTCTTGTCGATTCTTCATATCTTTTAAGTAAAATTTTGTTAAAGTGTCCAAGAGCAAATCTACGAACACGTGATACGTTTTGCATTCCCGCGGGTCGGACTAATTATGCAAGTAATCGCTACATTGTGCGAGCTATGAAATCATATAAACTCTAAATATAGTCACATTGATATATTTAATCTTAATTCTTTGAAATTTAAAAAACTAATTTGTAACTCGTTTTAGGCACAACATTTTTATTTCTTTTTGTTTTGTTTATGTTCATTATGATACCAAAAATTGTTTCTTTTTTCTCTCATGTTTATTAGACACTATGTGAGATAAATAATAGTGGAAATTACCTGGACAATTGTTTAAACTTAATGTTATATTTTTTATGTAAAAATTAATGATGTTATTTCCCTAAAAATAAATAAATAAATAGATGTGGTGGTCATTGCGGATTCCACTCTCCCTCGGGGTCTGTGACCCCTAGGTAGGGTGGTCCAAACTTTCCCGGGACCTGACGGAGTGGTTCGCGTAGTGGACGGCCTCACCAAGGGTACACTGCGCTAACCGGCCCGCAAGCATATCCCACTTACCCCCGAGCCACAGTCAGAAAAAATCCACGCGCAACCAATATAATGTTATTTTATAACTAAAACATTTCACAGATTGCTAAAAAGTTATTTTATACAGAATACTACAAAAGTTTGGACATAAGGATTGCATTATTCATCATTTAATAGCACTATGCACCTGACTTTGCTTACTTCTTTGCTTATTTTGCTTTTCACAAATATAATACATATTTAATTCAGCGTTATCTTTATCTTTAATAAAAATAATATATATATATATATATATATTATTTTATACATATGTAACATATATTATAAAATATATATAATATTTGTAATAACAAAAGATAGGTTCAATAAAGTAACACCACAGGTGGCTTGTAATGAATAGCTTATTATTATGATTGTAACAATAAATTTTAAAAGAACAATATCATGGTTCCAGTGTGACGTTGGACAAACAGTAGACAATTATTAACTTACCAATAAATACGTGGAAACATACCATTTCAGCACAGTAGACATCTCCGTTGCCAAGATGAAGTTTTTGGGTGAGTATATCGTTATTAACTATGGTATAAGTTTTGTTGCAGTAATAAATAAATAAATATTTCCAACACTCACACTAATCAACCTAGACCCAAAGTAAGCACTGTAAGCTTGTGTTATGGGATACTAGGGTAACGGATAGAATACATAGACTGATACATATATAACTATTTTTATATACAAATACATATTGAAAATCCATGACTGGTGTACAAATGCATGTATTCATCACACCAACATCTGCCCCCACCGGGATTCGAACCCGAGACTTCTCGAGTAGGCGACACCTTGAAACCCGGCGTATAAACCACTGCGTATAAGCCACTGAGGTCATCAACCGTAATAACGAGACCAATTTAAGAAAATTTTACTACAAAAATTCCACGCGGTTCATGCCGCAGACGGTTCTCGAACCCGAACCCTCCGCTATCTAGACCGATGCACTGACCACGACTTTAATGGCCGTGCCGAATTTCATTTAGTATATCTTAGGCAGTGCCATCTCGTTCGCATTGTAGGTAACCCACAATGTGAAAGATTTAGACATCTAGCAGTTATATGATAAAAAAACAAAAATATAGAAAGCAATCCTAATAATATTATCAATGTGATAGTTTATAAGTTTGTGAAGCGATTTCTATGCACATGAAATTAAATGAAATGAAAATAAACTTTATTCAAGTTGAAAGAAGAATAGGCAAAAGAAATTTCTTAACTTTTTATGAAGAAACGACATTTAAATACAAATATATCGTGACGAATACACTTTTATAAAAAAACAATCGTTAAACGACGACTGCTGAAAAACTACCTTAAATAAAAACTAAACCCATTTTTAAAAAAATCCATCCAGAATATCTTATGGGTTCCGACTGTTAAAGTAACTTTGTTCCTTACTTAACAAAATTATGGACTTGTATTTTTCGTTTCAGTTTTTATTTAAAGTAATTTTTAAGCAAGAGGGTTTTATTTTTATTTTTTAAATTTACCTTTTTTTGATCGAGTTTTTTTATGCATAGAACAACATATTAGAATTTTTGACATTAAATTGCTATTATAGTAATTTATGTTGTCAACGGAATTGTAACCATGTACCTTGCTAACAATCCCGTAAACAAAATACAGTAGACCCGCGGTAATCCGACAAACGTTTTGCAGGGCGATGTCGGATTATCGAATTTGTCGGATTACATAGTACTTATTTTTTTACGGTGGGAAATGCATTACGCATACCCCGCGCTTTGGGGTACGCGGGGCTATGTTGGACTATCCGCGGCTTCTGGGGGCAGACAGAATGCCCCCCAGGAGGTGCAGTACCGCGGCCTACCGACTAAAACCCACCTATGCCCCTCATATACGCCTTGGCGCGAGCACGCCCATCACCGCCGCATCCTCATCGTTGTCTGACGAAGAGGACACGTCGGGGAGGGACGCGTCGCTGCCGGACAAGGTCATGGGAACTCGTGAGAACACATCCACGACCTCGTCGGCGTCTGCTGCGTCTATGGCGAGCCCCACTCACCCCCCCAAAAAGGGAGGACCGATCCTCCGGGGCATCCAGGGGATCAGCGACTGGCGGCAACCGGTGCAATGCAGGGCCCGGGCTTCCCGGGCCTGGATCCCGCTGGTTACCGTCAGGAGGAAGTAGGCGGGCGTACATCCGCCTTCTCCGCCCCATCCTTCGTCTTCTTCCCGGGCCCTCTCCGCGTCCTCCTTCTGCGTCATGACCTCGACACAGAAGGAGTTCACCGCGTCCCACATTTCCTCCCCCTCCAACATGACGCAGACCACGTTTTGGAGGGAGAGATCATCGCCAATGATGGCGCTAAGTTCCCGGCGCCGAAGGGAGAAACCTGGGCACACCTCTAAAGTGTGCTGTGCGGTGTCCTCAGCGGTGTCACAATGGTGGCACTCGGGGGTCAGCTCTCTACCAATGCGGTGCAAGAAGCGGCCAAAAGAACCATGACCGCTAAGAATTTGCACCAGGAGTGGTAGGAGAGCGACCCGTGGCGCCTGTCCACCCACGTGGTGAGATAGGGGTTATTGGCCTCCAAGGTCCTGGACAAAGTGCCAGAGACCGAGGCTGAACCCCTTTTCTCTTCGAGCTCCTCGAATCACGTACGGAACGCTTTGATTTGCGCCTCCTCCAAGGCGGAGGCCCTCTCCCTAGGCGCCAGGCGCCGGTCATCACGCTGCGCGTCTTCTCTGACACGGTAGGCAGCCGTCAGAACGTGGGCCGAGATTTCCCACGGCGGAGTGCCAGCCAGACGGATTACATAGTACTGTCGCAACCCACTCTATAGTCCGGAATTTTTGGAATAAGAGTACCTTGTAATCCGACAAATTACAAATCTAAAAATCTATTTCAATTCATTTTATGTACAAATAATCAGTGCTAAGCGTGTCGGATTACAGGGGGCGCCGGATTAGACGGGGTCCGGATTACCGCGGGTCTACTGTAATTTACTATAATGTGACTATGAAAATTAAAACAATATAAAACTAAAGAAAATGTTACAAATAAATATTTTTCCTAGACTTTTTGCAATTCATACGGGAAATTAGTAATAATTGTAAAAGATATCTCAAATAATATTTAAAAAAGTATTGAACACACATTATTGAAGGTTGGACACGAAAGTCGGTCCGTTCGTGGAATAAGCAAAATGATAGTTTCTGGTTATAAATTAAAATTTTCAGAATTCAAGTTTGCTTACTCTAAACTGCTGGTGTCGACAGACAGTGCGTGTCTGTCGACACCAGCAGTTTAGAGTAAGCAAACTTGAATTCTGAAAATTTTGTGTTAGGCAATTTGCTTTAAATCTGCACTAGTCACACTGTAACACAAAAATATCAATGCGATATCTAGCTCGGAAACAAACTATTTCATATATTATGTTGCGTCAATAAAAGGACTGATATATTTAAGTGGTGTATTGACTTTAAAAATAAGTAATTAAATTTAAATGAAATAAATATTTAAGGGGTCTCCCATATAACGGACGTGATTTTTGCTGTTTTTGCACGATATTATAACACAATGTCCAATGTTGTTGAAAGTACGAAACCGTCTGTGCGCGAATCCGACTCGCATTTGGCCGGTTATCAAAACAAAAAACTGTAGTTCTAAAACGAATCAGGAGCTCTACTCTCTTTCTCCGAAACGAAATTTCGGCAACGAACGAATTTTAAACGAAATTTTACCAGTGACTCTACTCTATTTCATCTTCGAACACTCACATTAAGTTCGGAATCACAGACAATTATCGTGAACGAATGGAATGAGTTATGTTTGTGAGTTTTTTTTGTCTACACTTTTTAGATACCGCTCTTTACTTCAAAACAATATTACTTTATGACAAAATTTTTGATTACATTAAAACAACCTCTTTTGACAGTGATAGCCGATTAATTTGTAGAGTTTATGCAATCGAATGTATGTCAACCTAAATTTGTCGTGTAACACTTTAAAGTATTGGCAATACAATAATAACCAAAAATTTGATTTATTTGTAAATTTTTCATACAAAAAATGTTCCTCACTCTAAGCAGCCTTAATTAAAAATATTGTAGTTGTAATTTTAGGTTTAATTTAAACAAAAATCCCAAAACGAAAATGAAAAGGTAACACTTTTCATTTCGTCAATTTGAGGTTAAAATTTCGAACAATTATCTGTCAAATTCAACTTTTAGTTCGAAAGTTTTATGAATTAGAGTAGGCTTGGAGAATTTAAATGTCAAACTATTTTCGGACGAACGAATTTTCGAAATGAAATAGAAACAGAGTAAGGAACGTGCGGGATTTCGATCGAAATTTCGTTTTTCGTTGAAATAGAGTAGGCCTCCAGGTTATTTTAGTTGGTTTTTGCCATAGATTGAGTATGTTCCAGGTATGACATGACTTAACTTGACTTGACTTTGACTTTTGAGTCCAAAAGTAGAGACAGTGTTTCGCTTAACACTAGAAATAAAAATAAATTAGCTGTATCAATTATAAGGCTCCATGAATACAATAGTTCATTTAAAGATCTTTGTGTACGCTTCTAAAATAAAATCCCTAGCAATATCCCAAAATTAAGCGTCAATAAATTTAAAGCTACTTTTAAAAGGGTTCTTATTGATAAGGTGTCTGATTACATTTCAGACAAAAATGCTTTGGTTTAAACTGTTCCAAACGTAATGGCAGGCTTTTTCTATAATTATGATCAAAATGATATTATTTTGTATCGACACTGTGACAATAAATATTTTGTAAATATAATAACATAATTATTTAACGCTGTGAAATTTTTCGCCAGTTTTTCTCCACAGCTAAAAAATGGCCTCAACTGGAGGTTGGGAAAAAAATAAGGACGATTCAAATAAAAAATATTGTGCATCCAATTTGAATAAAGATTTTTGACATTTGGACTTTAAAGTAAAGGTACGTTCATATATGTTATTGGCTTAGTAACTAATTAATTTGTAAGCAAAGAAAAAAACTAATAAATGTTTACTTCATGCTCAGCCCAATTTTTACGAATTTAATACTAGTGCTCGCCTGCAACTTCGTCCGCGTTTACTTTAGTTATTTTGAATCGCGATAGGAACTTGTTATTTATTTCGGAAAAAAAGTCCAAAAGTCAAAAAGTATATGCGTACAAAATTTCATTCAAGTATGTTCAGTATTGTTGCGCAATTGAGTCAAAACACAAAGAAACACACATACATACAAACTTTCGTATTAATAATATTACTTGGTAGGACTAGTAAGACTATAATAAAAAAAAAAATGTAATTAATCGGTATAGGTTCCTAATTGTTTATGGCGTTGATTTTGTTAATGAAAACGCAAGTGGATGAAATACTAAAACAATATGAACATATATAGTTTAGAAATATTTCAATTTCATTGGCCTCAAATTACACATTCGATAAAAACGGACAAATGTCTTAATCTGAACAGCCATCATAGCGTGCCGCTATAAAGAAGTAGCTTGGCCCTGAGCACCAAGCGTGGAGTTTAGGTTAAAAAAAAAACCGTTTCAATTAATTTTTTCTTTGTTTTTTTACAGGGCTGATATGTCTTCTAGTGGTGTCGTTTAATTTTACTGCAGTGCAATCTGGCGTTATTGACCCATCCTATCCTGATGACTCGGTGGATGGTAGTTCGGATGATTCACAGGAAGAGACAGAGGAAGATTCATCAAGCAACGACGACTCCAGTTGCAGTTCCTGCAATTGTCCTTCTAATATAGACCTAGTTTGTGGCACGGACGGTAAAACGTATTCAAACGAGTGCATGCTAAAGTGTGCAAATGACAACAGGGAAAAATGTTTACCACCCATAACCGTAAAGAGTAAGGGACAGTGTCCTCCGCCATGCGATTGCTGCCCTAACGAAAAGGCGCCGATCTGCGCTTGTAACGAAAAAACGTACACCAGCAAATGTTTCCTCGGTTGTGAAAACGCAAACAGAGCCGCACAAGGACTTTCAAATTTAACGATCTTGTACAATGGGGAATGCATATCTTGCGTTTGCACTTTGGAATATAAACCAGTATGTGGTAATGACAGCATTACGTATAGTAACAACTGTCAACTAGAATGTGAAAATAAAAAGAAAAAAGCTCAAGGTTTACCTCAGGCGAAAATTCTTTACAAAGGACAATGTGTCGCTTGCGCATGTACGAAACAATACGACCCTGTATGTGGTAGCGACGGGAAAACATATGGTAATGACTGCACGTTCAACTGCGAAAATGAAAAGAGATGCAGACAGGGCCTAAATAATTTAACAATACAATACAAAGGAGAATGCGTCAACTGTGTCTGTACTGACGACTATAAGCCGGTATGTGGTGTCGATAACAAGACATACAGTAACGCTTGTGTTTTAAACTGTGAAAACAAGAAGAAAGAAAGATGTGGTTTGAAACCTATTAAAGAAGATTATAAAGGTGAATGCGTCAAGTGTTCCTGCAAATGTGAAAAGGCACCAGTTTGTGATACAGATGGTAATTCTCATGACAGTCAATGCGAGCTGGATTGTGAAAATAAGAGAAGAGAAAAGCGAGGCCAAAAACCAGTATGTGTCGATTACAAAGGAAAATGTGTCGACTGTGTCTGCACTGCCGACTATAACCCGGTGTGTGGTGTCGATAACAAGACATACAGTAATGCTTGTGTTTTAGGCTGTGAAAACAAGAAGAAGGAAAGACGTGGTTTGAAACCTGTTAAAGAAGATTATAAAGGTGAATGCGTCAAATGTTCCTGCAAATGTGAAAAGGCACCAGTTTGTGATACAGATGGTAATTCTCATGACAGTCAATGCGAGCTGGACTGTGAAAACAAGAGAAGAGAAAAGCGAGGCCAAAAACCAGTATGTGTCGATTACAAAGGAAAATGTGTCGACTGTGTCTGCACTGCCGACTATAACCCGGTGTGTGGTGTCGATAACAAGACATACAGTAATGCTTGTGTTTTAGGCTGTGAAAACAAGAAGAAGGAAAGACGTGGTTTGAAACCTGTTAAAGAAGATTATAAAGGTGAATGCGTCAAATGTTCCTGCAAATGTGAAAAGGCACCAGTTTGTGATACAGATGGTAATTCTCATGACAGTCAATGCGAGCTGGACTGTGAAAACAAGAGAAGAGAAAAGCGAGGCCAAAAACCTGTATGTGTCGATTACAAAGGAAAATGTGTCGACTGTGTCTGCACTGCCGACTATAACCCGGTGTGTGGTGTCGATAACAAGACATACAGTAATGCTTGTGTTTTAGGCTGTGAAAACAAGAAGAAGGAAAGACGTGGTTTGAAACCTGTTAAAGAAGATTATAAAGGTGAATGCGTCAAATGTTCCTGCAAATGTGAAAAGGCACCAGTTTGTGATACAGATGGTAATTCTCATGACAGTCAATGCGAGCTGGACTGTGAAAACAAGAGAAGAGAAAAGCGAGGCCAAAAACCAGTATGTGTCGATTACAAAGGAAAATGTGTCGACTGTGTCTGCACTGCCGACTATAAGCCGGTGTGTGGTGTCGATAACAAGACATACAGTAATGCTTGTGTTTTAGGCTGTGAAAACAAGAAGAAGGAAAGACGTGGTTTGAAACCTGTTAAAGAAGATTATAAAGGTGAATGCGTCAAATGTTCCTGCAAATGTGAAAAGGCACCAGTTTGTGATACAGATGGTAATTCTCATGATAGTCAATGCGAACTGGACTGTGAAAACAAGAGAAGAGAAAAGCGAGGCCAAAAACCAGTATGTGTCGATTACAAAGGAAAATGTGTCGACTGTGTCTGCACTGCCGACTATAACCCGGTGTGTGGTGTCGATAACAAGACATACAGTAATGCTTGTGTTTTAGGCTGTGAAAACAAGAAGAAGGAAAGACGTGGTTTGAAACCTGTTAAAGAAGATTATAAAGGTGAATGCGTCAAATGTTCCTGCAAATGTGAAAAGGCACCAGTTTGTGATACAGATGGTAATTCCCATGACAGTCAATGCGAGCTGGACTGTGAAAACAAGAGAAGAGAAAAGCGAGGCCAAAAACCAGTATGTGTCGATTACAAAGGAAAATGTGTCGACTGTGTCTGCACTGCCGACTATAACCCGGTGTGTGGTGTTGATAACAAGACATACAGTAATGCTTGTGTTTTAGGCTGTGAAAACAAGAAGAAGGAAAGACGTGGTTTGAAACCTGTTAAAGAAGATTATAAAGGTGAATGCGTCAAATGTTCCTGCAAATGTGAAAAGGCACCAGTTTGTGATACAGATGGTAAATCGCATGACAGTCAATGCGAGCTGGACTGTGAAAACAAGAGAAGAGTAAAGCGAGGCCAAAAACCAGCTTGTGTCGATTACAAAGGAAAATGTGTCGACTGTGTCTGCACTGCCGACTATAACCCGGTGTGTGGTGTCGATAACAAGACATACAGTAATGCTTGTGTTTTAGGCTGTGAAAACAAGAAGAAGGAAAGACGTGGTTTGAAACCTGTTAAAGAAGATTATAAAGGTGAATGCGTCAAATGTTCCTGCAAATGTGAAAAGGCACCAGTTTGTGATACAGATGGTAATTCTCATGACAGTCAATGCGAGCTGGACTGTGAAAACAAGAGAAGAGAAAAGCGAGGTCAAAAACCAGTATGTGTCGATTACAAAGGAAAATGTGTCGACTGTGTTTGCACTGCCGACTATAAGCCGGTGTGTGGTGTCGATAATAAGACATACAGTAATGCTTGTGTTTTAGGCTGCGAAAACAAGAAGAAAGAAAGACGTGGTTTGAAACCTGTTAAAGAAGATTATAAAGGTGAATGCGTCAAATGTTCCTGCAAATGTGAAAAGGCGCCAGTTTGTGATACAGATGGTAAATCGCATGACAGTAAGTGCGAGTTGGACTGTGAAAACAAGAGAAGAGTAAAGCGAGGCCAAAAACCAGTATGTGTCGATTACAAAGGAAAATGTGTAAATTGCATCTGCACTGCCGATTATAATCCTGTATGTGGTGATGATGGTAAGACCTATGGTAATTGTTGTGGCTTAGAATGTGAAAATAAACGAAGAGAAAAGAGATGCTCGAATTTAAAACCCATTAAAGTAGATTACAAAGGAGAATGCGTTGCTTGTTCTTGTACTAAAGATAAGAATCCCGTATGCGGCACTGATGAAAAAACATATAGTAACAAATGCTTATTAGAATGTGAAAACAAGAAAAGGTTAAAGCGTAAACAGAAGCCATTAACTATTGATTACAATGGTAATTGCATCAATTGTAAATGCACAACTGACAAAAAGCCAGTATGTTCCAACGATAGAAAAACTTACAGCAATGTCTGTCTACTTAATTGTGAAAACCATAAGCGAGAAAGGAAAGGATTACCAAAATTGACGGTATCTTATGAAGGAGAGTGTGTTGTCTGTTTATGCACAAAAGACTATAAACCAGTATGCGGCAGTGATAGAAAAACATATAGCAACAAATGCTTATTTGATTGTGAAAACAAGAAGCGAGATAAGCTTTGCATCTCACGTTTGACTCTTGCTTACCCGGGAGTTTGTATAAAATGTGATTGCCCTCTTGATGGTAAACCAGTATGTGCTACTGATGGAAAAATTTATAAAAACGCTTGCCTTTTAAATTGTGAAAACCAAAAGAGGAAACGGCAAAATTTATGTGACTTGACCGTGCAATGCATGTCTAAATGCAAAAAGTGTGATAAGTAGTCATTGAATAGAATAAAAGAGCTATTTTAGATTTTGCCAATATTGAATTTTGTTTATAATTCAAATTATTTTGGAAATTCTCAACACTATTTTGGATATTGTTAATACTGATTTATTTATTAAATGAATTAAAAATATATTAAAATTTTTGTTTTTTACTTTAATCTGGTTCTGCCACGTTTGACATTAATTTACCATAGAAATAAGGAAGTTTCCTAAATTTTAAAAATAAAACTCAGTTACTTATAAACAGTAGTCAAGTAGTCCGGTCAAATTATTTTTATAATTAGACAAAAAATAACAGCGAAGGTGGATAAATTCACATCAATCAGAAAGTGAGTAAAATTGTTTAATAACATATCAAAATGTTATTTTTAATTATGTTTTGAAAAATTCTATTCAGTTTCAGCTTGATGTGAATTTATGTACCTTTGAATGTTTGAATTGACCAGACTATTATTAACAAAAGAAATAATGATAATAATGAAAGGCGGGCCGCTAGTTATCAGTATAAAAGTACTATCATGTATGTGGTAGAATACAATATTTATTTATTGCGCTATCGTACACAAACATGACACTTTATATTACATTAAAAAAGTTTATCTCTCAGAAAAATCAACTTACATGAATCACGTTTAAGCGCACTTAGCGACATCTATTGTTAAGAAATCAACTTACTTGAATCACATTTAAGCGCACCTAGCGACATCTATTGTAAAAAAAATGCATTTTCTTCGCAATAAAGCTGCCACGTGGACGTCCTAGATAGAGACTTATTATTTTAATATGATAAAATAAAATATTACTATGTTTCGTCTAATATATTGAAAGTCAACAACCTTTCCAATTTTATTATGTGTCATGATGCGATCAGCCCACGTGTTTAACCTGACGCGAGTTTAACAGTTTTTACACATACAAAAAAAGAGCAACGACGCAATCAGAAAAAAGTTTTCATTAAGTTAAGAGCACTTTCTTACACATAACTGTGGCGCGCCTGCCCAACCCACAAGGCTCTTCTAAACTCTTTCTGAGGAGTTCTGTGCACTGGTCAGCTAATAAACCGGGTCACTCGCTACCTTATTAGAGCTACGTCTACAGAAAGCGGGTTTCATAATGATAAAAATAATCAGAAAACTATTGAGTTTAATAAATTTATAAAGTTGTTATTAAGAATTTTCCAATGAAGATTCGTTTTCCAGGTGCGTGATCGTAGCGAAAATACACATCTCTGAGGCAACGATGGACAATAACTAAAGAAATGATAAGAAGTATCAGAGTATCCTTATAATAAAAAGCACGATAAACGCAACATTATCCAAAAATTATCAGAATTTTAGCATTATGTGTGCTTGATTACAAAGTAAGTTGAAGTCAATCATCATCATCATCATCAGCCTGTTAATGTCCCCACTGCTGGGGCATACACGTAGGCCTTCCCTATGGATGGAATAGAGAGATTTGGGTCGATAGATTTTTTATTTGGATTTTATTTGGGGGCGATGCCAATCTGGTCAAGTTTAATGCTTCTAAGACTCAGCGTGTCTGTTCTCCGCTAAAAAGAGGGCGTTTCAACTGGCCCCTTCTTTCCGAGGTGAAACCGTGCCGGTAACCGAACATCTCGAGCTTCTAGGAATAACTCTCACCTCAACTCTCAACTTCGGTACCTACATTGTGTCCAGAGCTCAACTGGCTGCAAAAAAGCTTGGCGTCCTCGCAAAGGTGCGGAAGTACTTTACACCGGTACAGCTGCTCACCTTGTACCAAGCGCAAGTTCGCTCGTGCATGGAGTACTGTTCGCACCTTTGGGATGGTTCTGCAAAATATCAGCTGGAGTCTTTGGAGTGCATCCAGAGGCGTGCAAAGAAGCTCATCGGCAACGATAAATTATTTGAGACTAGACTCCAAAGTCTTCAACACAGGCGAAAAGTTGCCTCTTTATCGGTTTTTTACCAGTTACATTTCGGAGAGTGTGCTTTGGAGTTACATAACGTAATTCCACCTTCACCTTTTTACCACAGAACTACCAGAGAGACGACAAAACGCCACAGATATACCGTAGAGGTCTTGCACACTTGTACTAAACGGTTTGCTTCCACCTATATCGTCAGAACAGCTAGGTTGTGGAACTCTTTGCCGGAATCTCTGTTTCCAGTCACCTATAATCTGTGGCTCTTCAAGTCGCGAGTGAAACGGTTTCTTCTAGGCAAGCGCGTCCCACTTTAGGCTGCTACGTCGCTCTTCATCAGGCGCGTGGCCGTCAAGCTTAAGCCTATTTAATGTAAAAAGAAATATTACCTACCACACGGGCCCAGTGCGGATTGGCGGATACTAACGACTGCAGATGCAGCCGAGACCAACGGAACCCGTGCTTCGGAAGGCACGTTAGCCTTCCGAAGCACGGAGGAACTTGAGATAGAAGATTTTTGGTCACCCATCCTATGAAAAACCACTGCGAAAGTTGCTTAACTTAAACGATCGCAGCCGAACGCGCTAACCACCTGCGCCATCGAGCTCCTCGATTTGTTGTTGAGTTGTCAGAACTTTAGTATATTTTTTATCATTTTAATTATCACGAAACGCTTTCTTTAGATTTAAACATCAAGTAGTTACATGCTTAAAAAATAAATATTATATTATATTTGTAAGTTATATATTTAAAAAAATAAATCGAATTAGATCTCCAATGTACTTGTGAATTTCTTTACTCATGTGCATAGTAGGTTACCCGGTTTATTTACTGTCTTATAAGAAGTTTACTCTTTATTCCGAGCAATGTTTCTGTGCGATTTTCAGAAACTAAAGTTAACGCGGACGAGTTTGCGTGATTCCGCTAGTTAATAGTACGAAAGTGCCCGTCTGTCAGTTACCTCAAGCTTTAACCACTGAACCGATTTAAATCAATATTGTTACAAATATAGTTAGAGAAACTACGAGGTCAGAAAGAAAAGAGTTACCGAATTTCTTTGTTCTGATAGGTATAATGGTCACAGTAGATAAAGTTGAGAACGTAGCTGATGCAGCAGATAAATAAATATAAATAAATAAATATCTCCAACACTAACACCAATTAACCTAGTCCCAAAGTAAGCACTGTAAGGCTTGTCTTATTGGATACTAGGGTAACGGATAGAATACATATACTGTACATATATATAGAAATAAATATTTTACATCCATGACTGGAGTACAAATGCTCGTATTCATCACACAAACATCTGTCCCCACCGGGATTAGAACCCGGGACCTCTCGAGTCGGCGACACCATGAAACCCGGCGTACAAACTCTTCATTCCGAGCAATGATCCTGTGCGATTTTCAGAAACTGAAGTTAACGCGGATGAACTTGCATGTTTCCGCTAGTTAATAATACGGAAGTGCCTGTCTGTCTGTTACCTCAAACTTTAACCACTGAACCGATTTAAATCGATATTCTTACGAATATACACTTCTGGACACATCTGTTGGCCCACCTTGTATTTTCAGTTTCGTTTGGTCCTACCTAAAATTTTATATTAGGTCGAGCAAAAAGTTTTTATGCAGTTTTGAACCTGGCACATTCACAATTTCATTCAATAGTCTTTTTTTGAATTTCGAACACAGAATTTAAAGAAACAAAAGAAAAGGAGATTGGTCAAATTGGCCTAAATGCAAATAAAATATTGACATATACAGTAATTCTTGGCGTAATTTATACTTTATTTTACAGTCATTAGATTTTAACGGCCACCTTTAAATAATATATTAATTTTAAAAAAGGACTTCTATTTTTACCGGTTTGGAAAACATACGAATCATTTTTATTGGCTATGGGTGTAGTAACATTCACAAAGACTGATCGAGGTTGTTTATATAACATCAAAACAAATCTATTTTGTAAAGATTGATAATTTTTTTTTTTTTTATTACACGGGTGGTATTAATATCCACAAGTTTATTATCATTTTTACTACATGCAAATGTGCTAAGACAATTAATATAGATGGTAGGCGACATCATAAAGTCTATTGCCGTACATTTTTTGCCAAACACCTAAATAAACACATTATAAGGTGTGATACACTAAAAATCTAAAATATGGTTATAATAAAAACATAACAAAAATAATGAAGCTGCTGAAGATATGGCTGTATAACCTACAGCTCTTAGCTTTCTTTGATTAACGAGAGTTTAAAAATTCTCTCTAATCTGTGGCTCATTCACAATCATCACACAGTTTCTGTTCGTGTTTTTAAAAACATGCACATATCTGTTATTTTACATGCTCTATATACCTGAATCTAATACATAATATCGGTACTTGGCTTGATTGCCCTATTTTCCTATATAAGTTATTTGGTTTTTATTATTCTAATACCTATGTACCTATTTGCAAACATAACCTCAAAATCATTCAGTGTATATGGTTTATAGAAGTTCTCAGGAGTGGCCGTCGATAATAGTTTCTACGGTAATTTATATATAATTTCGAATGTAGGAAACAATTTTTCATGGTTATTGGTTTTTAGGCCAAACATGTATGGAAGCTGAGCAATCTCCTTTGGAGCCTGTTTGTTGATATCAAACAATCGAATACTAAGAAAACTTGGTTTTATTGGTTTACTTGGATTTAATTCTTGAAAAAGTGATTGATATCTTTGGTTTTGCAACAAACATTACTTATTCTTAACATTAAGGTGAGGTTCTATCAATAATCTATGGATACTTCAACTGAAGTCGCCGCCCAAGCTGTGGCACTTATTCAGGCCGGACACAGCCAAAGAAACGTGAGTGCTCAACTTAATTTAAGTCGATCTGCGGTCCGAAATGTTTATCGGAGGTACCTAGAGACTAGCGGCTTTGTTCGTCGCCAAGGAAGGCCACGATCTCGGGTCACAACTGAAAGGCAGGATCGATTCATCGTGACGACCAGCTTGAGAAATCGTCACCTTACCTCCATTGAGATACAAAACCAACTTCGCGACTTCCAAGGAGTATCTGTGAGCGCTCGAACTGTTCGGAGAAGGTTAAAAGAACGCGATATGGTACCACACAAGCCAGCTAATGGGCCCAAACTAACGCGAGCCCACCGAACAGCGCGCCTTCATTTCGCACGCAGTCATTTAAATTGGACACAGTAAGATTGGAGCCGT